GCACATAGTTCATTTTTTTTATTCTAAACTTAACAAAACACCAAATAAAAGGGGCATTTCCAATATACATAAAACAGAAAAAGATCATACATGAAACTGCAAATTTCTATTATATGCAGCTTCCTTTTCTTTTTAAATAACATTAAATTTTTTCAAAATATTTTATTTGATTAAATTTTCCCATTTACATGTAAAAAAATTTTAATATTCCCTTTTTAAATTTTCAGTTCCAAATTCTCTCCCTCCCACTTGCCCCTCCCCCCTCTTTAGGAAGGCAAGTAATTTTATATCGATTATACAATTAAATAGATATTAAATTCAATGTGCAACTTTCACAGTAGTCTGGCTTGTCACACAGTACACTTCTTTAGTACACCAAATAGTCAGTGACTCTGTTATCTTAGCAATGTGGACATTCTCTCCATCAGTAAAGATGGTAGCCTACCTATGACTTCGTGTGTGACATTTCCTGTCTGTTTCCACAGAGGATTGATCAAACTTGCTTGAGTTGAGGTCTTCCTCTAGGTCAGTATTTCTTAACCTGGAGTCCAGAAACTAGTTTTCTTAATATTGTGATAACTATTTCAGTATAATTGCTTTCCTTTGTAATCTTACGTATTTTATTTTATGCATTTAAAAACATGATTCTGAAAAAGGACATCTAAGTTTCACCTGACTGCCCATGACCCAAAAAAGGTGAAGAAGCCTTGCTCTACATCTTTCTACATTTTGTGGTTACCAGTAGTATGGTATTCTGGCTAGCCATTTGTCATCCTTCTTGCAACATGACCAGCCCCACCTTCTTTTCCAATCACAATCTAAATGTTTATTGATCATTTTGATAGAATCAAAAATCAATCTAATTCTTCAACTCAAATCCAACGAACATTTTTAAATTCTCTACAATGTAAGGAAACAGTCTGCCTCTCAAAGAGTTCATGGGGGGGGAGGGGAGGATATAATACATAAGTATAGTACAGGAGAACCGACTGGGGTGAATCAGAAAAGGTTTCACAGGTACCCAAGACAAGCCTTGAAGAAAGACAAGCATTCTGAGAGGCAGAGATGAAGGAGTCTACTCCAGGCATTGGGAACAATTTGCACAAATATATGGAGGTGGGAGATAGAATGTCAAGTTCAGGAAACAGTTTGCAGGCCACTTTGGTTGGAACATAGACTTCAAGGAGGCAGCAGTATAAAACAAGGCTGGAAAAGCTGTGATCAGTGTGGAAAGAAGGACTTTGGTAGACACAGATGAAAGAAGAATATATTCAAGAGATGGAGAAATAGCTTATTCAAATGTACAGCAGCAGGAGATGAAGTGTTGATTTTTGAGGTGTCCTTTTGGTTTGGAGTGTTGCAAATAATATAAAACAAGACAGGAAATATAAGGTGCAGTCTGATTGAGGAAAGCCTTGAATTATTATATGTATTATACTTAGGTGTCTATGTATTTGCTCTAGTTGTGGGTTCCCCTTACTGGAGGTCAAAGGATGAACACATCAGGTAGGCTGAAGTAGAAGAGATTCTTTTGGGTCGGATGTGACTGCTGAGGTCCCTTCCAATTCTAAAATTCTATGACTCTTTTTGAGCCTGCATTTTATTCTAGAAGTAGTGATTTTTGAGAAGAATAAGTGGAGTTTTTTGAGCAGGAAAATGACTTCATCAGATCTGTATCTTAGAAATAATAATTTGGTAGCTACGTAAAGGATAGAAAGGAAAGAGGAGAGTCTAGAGGAAAGGAGAACAGTTAAAAAGCTATCATAAATAGAGAATATTATGAAATGCAAAATGGATAATTTTGATTACATTAAATTGAAAAGTTTTTGCACAAGCAAAGCCAATGCAACCAAGATTAGGAGGGAAACAGAAAACTGGGAATTTTTACAACCAGTGTCTCTGATAAGGACCTCATTTCTAAAATATATAGAGAAGTAAGTCTAATTTATAAGAATACAAGTCATTCCCCAATTGATAAATGGTCAAAGGATATGAACAGGCAGTTCTCAGATGAAGAAATTAAAGCCATCTATAGTCATATGAAGAAATGCTCTAAATCACTATTGATTAGAGAAATGCAAATGAAAACAACTCTGAGGTACCAATCACACCTATCAGATTGGCCAACATGACAAAACAGCTAAATGATAAATGTTGGAGAAGATGTGGGAAAATTGGAACACTAATGCATTGTTGGTGGAGCTGTGAAATGATCCAACCATTTTGGAGAGTCATGTGGAACTATGCCCAAAGGACTATAAAAATGTGCATACCCTTTGACCCAGCAACAGCACTTCTAGGGTTATATCCCAAAGAGATCATAAAAATGGGAAAAGGACCCACATGTACAAAAATATTTATAGCAGCACTTTTTGTGGTGGCAAGAATTGGAAATTGAGGGGATGCCCATTAATTGGGGAATGGCTGAACAAGTTGTGATATATGATGAACAAGCAGACTTCAGAAAAACCTGGAGAGACTTGTATGGTCTGATGCTAAGTGAAGTGAGCAGAACCAGGAGAATGTTGTACACAGTAACGGCCACATTGTGCGATGACTAACATTGACATACTTAGTCCCTCTCAGCAATGCAAGACCTAAGACATCTCCAAAAGTCTCATGATGGAAAATGCTATCCACATCCAAAGAAAAAACTATGGAGTTAGAATGCAGATCAAAGCATACTATTTGCTCTTTTTTTTCCTCCTGTTTTATTTTGTTTCCTCTTTCTTGTGGTTCCTCCTATTGGTTATAATTCTTCCTTACAATATGACTAATGTAAAAATATGTTTAATAGGAATGTACATGTGGTACTTATATCAGATTTCACACCATCTTAGGGAGGGAGTCGGAGAGGCAAGAGGAAAAAAAATTTAAAACTCAAAAGTTTATGGAAGTGATTGTTGCTAAATCAAAATAAATTAATAAAATATTTTAAAATAAAAAAACTATCATAATAGTCCTAGTGAGAAGTGACATTGGATTTAGCAATTAAGAAGTCACTGTTGACAATAGTACAATAAAAATGGAATGCTACAAAATTACAATAACTAAGCTTGGTCCTGAAGATTCAATTCAATAAACATTCACTAAGCAGCAACTACTATGTCAGGCACTGTGTTAAGCACTGTGGATACAAATAGGAAAAAAAAAGTCTTGGCCGCCTGGGGAGTTGATGATCTAATGAGGGAAGGCAATACACAAAAAGGAAGTTGAAAAGCAGGGGAGGGGGAGGACCGGGGAGTACTAGGCCCAATGGGGCATGTGATTCTTCCGAGTAGAGACTAGGCAGGGCAGCTGATGAAGAATGGAGTTACTAGGAAAGCTGGCTCTATAAAAGAAGGATTTGGGAGGTGTTTAGTGCTCTGCCCTCCAATCAGAGGATGAATTGAGAAGGCATAGAGTGTCCAAACCTGAGTCATTCTTCTCCAGTGATAAAATTTCTGGTGATCAGTTTACCCTGGGGCCAGAGAGGAGAGTTCACTGGGTTCACTGGAACATTACACAATGTCAGACTCTTTTTGTATGATACTTAAGTTTTTTTTCTTTCCTCTTTTTTTTTTTTTTATTCTTTATAAGGGGTAACTCTCTGGGAGGGAATGGAGAGTAGGGAAACGGTGGGGAAATGTAGGTGGTTTAAAAAAAAAAGTATGAAGAAAAATTTATTTAAAAAAAAAAAGAGGTCAACGTTGACCTTTGAAAGTAGTTTCAGTGGAGCGGTGGATTGGAGACCAGGTTCCAAAGGACTGAATAAAGTAGCTAGGGAAAAAAGTAGAAAGCTAAGAGTCTAACATTGAAAAGCAGAAGAGAGAGGATAGTTTAAGGAGATAGGAGCAGGGTCCAGGAAAACTTTCAAGGACAGAGGAAATCTAAGTATGTTTTTTAAATATCTGCTTCTAGGATACATTTTTGTACATTTTGTTGCAATTGAACATTTCTAACGATAGAAGGAAAATAGAACATGCTCTTGTAAAACACTTAAATTAATAACAATTTACTCTGACCAAATACTGTATTTAGAGAAAATAACAAGGCTAGGGTGCATAATAGGCAACATTCCCTAGCCACAACCTCATTCATATTAATTACGCGAAGCCAAAATAAATGGCTCTATAGTTTCAACATACACAAGGCCTCGGAACTTTTTAGGCAGAAAGGACAAGCCGTAGCCACATTGATAGGAATGGGGGCGGGAGGAGAGAGGACCCCAGTGTTTGAAGGCAGACACGAGTTACAGGATTTGAGCCTCGCAGTCACGGAACACCGCCAACAGGAGCGTCAACCCAATTTGTCATTCGTCTACAGGTGACCTACTGTCGTTTTTATTATGTCTCGCTTTAAAAATCGACTTCCACCCTGAGTCGCTGCTTGGGGGTACACAACTTCTGCATCCCGTTACTTACTTTTCCGAAGCAGCAGGCAGTTCGCCCTTTGGTCGGTAAACACCTAGGGGCGAACATGCAGGAATGTGTTTACCCCCTTTCTTAAAAAGGGAAAACAGAAGCTGTGATGTAATGGAAAGGGCGCTGGATCAGGAAGAAGAGGATCTGGATTTTCAAAATCCACCTCAACTCCTCACACCTGGGCCGCCCGAGGCAAGTAATTTGCTAAAGGCTGGGAGCGCTCAGGAGCAGAGGCAGCTCTCGAGCCCAACCGCTGTCCATGCCGGAGCACCGCTGCGGGCGCTGCCCAGTCTGACCTGGGGATCGCATGGCAGGCACCTCCCCTCCTTCCGGACGTGCGCTCCCTCAGCTCCCCAGGAGCCGCTCACTGACCCCCAAAGCTTTCCGGGTCCTTCCCGATGAAGTGGCTCCGTCCCCCTCCCCAGCGCGCACACACCTCCCCCGCCCGCAGCGGTGCTCCGGCCTGAGGCTTCCAGAGGGGTCGCCGCCGTCCAAGCCCCTTCCCCCCGGTCCCGGGCTCGGCTGCCGGACTCGCCTCCCCGTGTCCCTCCCAGCCCAGTGGTCTCCTCAGCCTGCCATGTGGCATGGGCTCCTCACCTGATAGGTTCGGCGGCTCCCCGAGCCGCCTGCCGAGCCGCCAGTCCTCCGCGGCCGGGTCACGCCGAAGCCGGAGCTGAGGACCGAGCCCAGGGGCCGAAGCAGGACGGCCGAAAGCCGCTGCCTTTCAAAGGCAGCGGCAACGTCCGGGGCACACAACACCAGGCGCGCCATCTTGAGTGGGGAAACCGGTGACTCCGCGAAGAATTGTGGGATAGTGACGGAGTGAGCCGCGGCCCCGCCCCTGGGCCAACTTAACTACCTAAGTTACCTCCCTTGGGTCCCCGGGCCGCTACCTCTGACCATTGTTCGCTGGCTCGCGGGCCGGCGACTCGAAAGCGGAGCGGAAGTGCGCTCTTGGCTGCCCACCCCGCCTCTTCCCGGAAGCCCGTCCCGGTGTCCTACTCTCCGGACACCCCCAGACTCCGCTTGGCCCCTTTTCCCGCCACTAGCGGCCAGCCGGCTCCCAGCCCCGCACCCCCCATTCTTATCTTCGATTGCCTCCACACTCTGTCACTCTATCGCTCCTTCCATATGCAGCCAGCCCGTCAAATTTATTCGGCTCTCACTGTGTGCTGATCCAAAATAAAACCGTCCCTGCCCCCAAAGAGCTCACATTTTGCATGGGGGGGGGGATGACTAAATAAATATGGGGCACTTCGGGTCATGCCGAAGTCGAAGAAAGTTGAAGTGATTTGCCCGTGGTCGCCCAGCTAGACCCAGCTTAGGCAAGAGGCTAAATTTGAACCAGTTCTTCTGATCATCGTACAACTTAACCACTTAGACCACACTGTAACTCTAAATCGGATTATTGCTTTTATTTGAAAATCAATATCGTTCTCCTTGTACACTATGGGGGGGAAAGTGGAATTTAAGACCTGGGTTTCCGTCCGGCCTTAGATACTCAGCTCTATAAACCCTGGACAAGTCAAAAACCTTTCTATGCTACAGTTGCCTTAGCTGTAGAATGGAGGTAATGATAGCACGAACCTCATCGGTTGTTGCAAGGATCAAGTGAGATTATGGAAAACCTGAAACTGTTATGCGACCGTGTGCTTTGTGTAGCGGGTATGAGATGGTTGCTCTCTTCCAGAAGAGCCTGACAAGTTCAGGTGGAGGGGAAAAAATGAGGTTGGATGAGATGACTTCGGAGGACTCTTCCAGATCTAAATCTATGGTCCTATGATCCTAGACACAGAAAAGCAACAGCGTTCAATTCAACAGACATTGATTAAGCGCTGGAGATGAAACGACAAAAAAAGCCAGCAATCACTGTCTTCAAGGAGAATACATTCTTCTGGGAAAGGAGGGTTACACTATGGGTGCAAATGAGCAAATATAAATTAGGGAACCTGGGAACCTGAGCTGGCAAAGAAGGTTTCTGAAATAATTATGAAAGGCAAAGGTGAAAAGGGAATGCATTGCACACATGAGAAATAGCCCAAGGTCGCACAGGTAGTCAATGACAGAACCTGAAATCAACCTTAGTCAAGTCACTTAGCATTTATTAAGTGCTTGCTGTGTGCCAGGCACTGTGCTAAGCACTAGGGATACAAAGAAAGGCAAAAACAATCTCTACCCTCAAGGAGCTCCCAATCTAATGGAGGAAACTAAAGGTCCTCAGGCTCCAAGTTCAGGTCTCTTCCCACTTCACCACACTTCTTCCTATGTAAAAGATAAGGATGGGCAGTGGACCTCTGATATCTGTGGTATAAAGAACTCCCAAATGAGGACACTCCCTTCCCAATTCAGGTCAGCCCCTCCTCTGCAATTTAGAGACTAGCTTAGAGAAGATCTTGGTGCCAAACCCAGTGACCCAACAACCAAACCAGATAAAAATGTCATTAGGAAATATTTAACAAATAAAAACAATAAAACATAGACAGTTGTTAATATGTGGTCTTCAAAGTCAATATGCACCTGCAGAGATCCTTATGTACAGTTTTGTGCCCCCTTTTCTGAGTTGCCACCACTGGCCTAGAACACCAAGTGGTCTTGCCCAAGATCATAGAGCCAGTATGCATCAGAGAAAGGACTTGAACCCAGGTCTTTCTGGCTTCAGGGCCAGCTCTCTATCCATTGCACCACTACTACTACTGTGTGGAAGGCAGCATCTCCCTATATAAAAAAAAAATTAGACCTAACGAAAAATTTTCATCAGAGCTGAAATTTGTCCCTGATTTCTACTCCCTAGGCAGCATGTCCAGTGATGTTCTAATTAATAGAGAGGGGGGAGGAGATACGAGGGAGGGAAAGAAAGGGTAGGAGAGAGGAAGAGGAGAAGGGAGAGGGGAAGGAAAACAAATACTCCCTAGTGTTCTTTGGGACAGACCAGCAGCATGCTTATACAATGATTTTTTTTTTTACTCACTAGAGAGGTGGCTCAGTGGATAGAGCACCAGGCCCAGAGTTGGGAAGACCAGAGTTCGAATCTGGCCTCAGACACTTAGTAGCTGTGTGACCTGGGGAAGTCACTTAGCCCTGTTTGCCTCAGTTTCCTCATCTGCAAAATGAGCTGAAGAAGAAAATGGCAAACCACTCCAGTATCTTTGCCAGGAAAACCCCAAATGGGGTCACAAAGAGCCAGACACAATGAGCCAGACTGAAAAGTCTCAATGAAAAGGTAGGAAAGCTAGCTTTGGTGCCAGGAGACCTGGGTTCTTCAATCCAGCTTTTCTGAAGCCAGAAGGAGGGCTCTTGTTAAAACACCAGTCACTTGGCCCTCTGAGTTTCCATTTCTTCATGCTTAAAATGCAATTAAACATGTATTAGGTACCTACTATATGCAGAGTGCTAAGCTAGGTGAGTTCCAAAGTTTAGATACACTGCCAAGCTCAGACCCAGCTTGTCACTCTCTACTATACAATACTTCCTTCCCCATTTTCAGATACCAGAGAGCCAGGGATCTGAGACTGCAGCATTGGAGTGGAGTCCCTTTCTTCTGAGGAGCTCAGAATCCTAGCATTAAGCTTTTCACTTCAGTGACCTCATCTAGCTATTGGCTGGGGCTCTTCCTCTTGTTGCTTATTAGTGGTGTGGCAAATAAAGTGCTAGACTTAGGGTCTGAAGAACATGAGTTCAAATTCCACTTCAGATACTTACTATCTCTCAAGTTACTTAAATTCTCTGAGCCTCAGTTTCCTCATCTGTAAAATGAGGAAGTTAGACTCCAAGACCTCAAAGGTCCCTTCCAGCTGCAGATCTATGACCCTAAAGTACCTCTCTGGGCTTTAGTCAACATCTAGGGGGTAGGGATGGGCAGGGAAGCCTTCCATTCCTAACAATCATTGGATCTGAGATTCTAGTGCATTGCCTTGTCTCTCAGCCCTAAAGTCCTTACTGGGCAATGACACAGAGCCAAAGGAAACTGATACTTTCTTCCATACTGAATCCCTTGCCTTTGCTAGATTGGGAGGGATAAAAAAGGGTAGGGGCACTTAATATAATGGAAAGAATTCCAAATAAATGACTAGGAGTCCTCTGTGGCCTATATTAGGCTGCCAGTGTGGGCTCTTCGTGGAGTTGGGGGTCAAAGGCTGCTTCTTTCCTTCTTTTCTCTCCTGGGCTGGAATGACAGAAAGCTCTCTTTCTGTCCCAAACTAGCTCCACGTTCTAGCCTTTCACATCAAGTCCTCACCCCAGTGCTGATAAAATACAAACTCCTCCCCTGGAATTTAAAACTCTTCACAATCCTACCTACCTGGCCCAGAGAGCAATCCCACCTCTTCTAGGCCTTGTATAATCACCTCTAGGCTCTACATCATGAAGCAGGCCCAGGCCTTCCTCTCCACCCCACTCCCCAAGTTGTTGTAACTTCCCCACCCTCCCCCCACCCCCCACCCCCCCCACACACACACCCCAAGGAAAATTTAAACCCCTTGAGGGCAAGGACTGTTTTGGTTTGGTCTCTAGGGCCTTAGCACTCAGTGCCCTACACAAAGTGGGCACCAAAAAATGCTTGTTGATTTTGCCAACTTCAAATCCTGATCCTTCCACTAATTTCTTTCCTGGCCATAACAAAGAGAAAAATTAATTGGATAGGCTGGTTAAGTCTTCTTCAGACTTAAAATCAACCCATAGTGCTGCAACAAAAGCATGTAAAATTATTTAATATTTTTTATATGATGTTGGTGATTTGAGAAGTCATTGGTAACATAGAACTGTTACTACACAATTATCTCCAAAATTGGCAATCATAGACTATAGAGACAAAGGAGTTTAAGAATTCATCTAGTCCAATGACGTTGGGCAAGCCACTTCTCCTTTCCAGGGTTTGGTTTCCCCATCTGTAAAATGAGGACTTTGGATTACATGATCTTGGCTTCCACTTTCAAATCCTGTAACAGTATTGTACCATTCAAAGGAACAAGTAATCATTTGCATATTCTTCAGGAAGGGGAAACCTGGGCATACCTTATACTTTATACACAGCTCACAATTCCCATTTCTATAATAATCTTTTGAGTCAAGTAGGAGAGATATTATTATCCCCATTTTACAGATAGAGAAACTGAAGACCAGAGAGGCAAAGTGACTAGCTGAAGGTCACACAGGTAGTCAGGAACAAACCCAGAGATAGTGCTCAAGTCTCTTAACTCCTAATCTTCCTCCTTCCCCCCAAGCCCAGTTGCTTGAACACAGGTTCTTGGTTAAATTATCCATAGGTCTGTAGATTGGTGGTTGGGTCTAACCATCTGTATAGAGAAGATACCTGAAATATCTAAGAGACTTCAGTGAAGCTTTTTAAGTCATTTAACTTTCCACTAAACGCCCCACCAGGGTGAAATGGTAAATGTGGATTGTTATTCCTTGAAATAGAATGAATCTATTAACCATCGATCAATCAACAAGCATTTATTAATCTCCTATGTGCCAGCCACTGTGCTGGATGCTGGGCATACAAATAACAATCTCTGCTCTCAAAGAGCTTATATCATAATAGGGTTGACAGCACGTACCTACATAAGTATATATGGAATATACATATGTAGAATAAATACAGGTAAATACCAGATGGTCTGGGAGGAAACTAGTGATTAGGGGGAATCACGTGAAAGATAGTGCATGAGCTATGTCTTTTTTGTGTTTCTTTTGGTATATTCTGAATTTTAAAGACACCAAATAAAATAGGTGGTTTTCTATATTCAATAGAATAGGAGAGGATTGTATCTAAA